TTATGAGAATATTGTCTACACCGGGGGAAACATGAGTGCGCAAAGATTGTAGCTCCCTCAAAACGATCACAGAACTAAAAGCGACGTTTGCGAATATTGGCGTCCGGCGGCATGAGACAGGCATGTGACATGCTCTTGATGCATTAAAATATTGCAGCATATTGCTGTCGTAGAACTTTGACTACATCCTCGACAGTTTGAGCACATCGATTTGCCGAGGGGGCACACTATGCTTCGAATTCCGTGGACTGTTCACATATCTGCACAGAAGCTTGTTGTTAACAAAAAACCATTCTGTTAAGCTCTGCTGGTGAACTAATTTGTCCTCACGTACAAGTGTGGTACAGTGATTTCGATGCACCACCTAGTAGCTTCAGTTGTCAGCGTTAGGATTTGCCCTATAAACACGCCACCCTGCGTCACTTAACGCCATACCTTTTCGGCTTCTTCTAATAATTGGTGGTGTTCTTGTAGGGCGAATGGGCCTGTTTACATATACGGATTTAATCAGATCGTTGAACTTGCCAGCAAACTCTGTCCATACATTCTCAATGGAACAATTGACCGAAAAATCCCAACAAGTTCTGCGAGTGTGTGGTAGTGTGTGATTGTTCGAATCGAGTTACTATGTTCCTGTGGATATTCTGCATAACACACATAGCCGTGATCACTTTGCCCAGAGGGTACTCTATATCTGGTTTTTCGGTCATGAGGTCCTCGTTCGTGAGTACTAGAGAAAGAAACACAGATGGCTTATTTCCCTTTCTGAATCTGGTGGGCAAAATGACATTGCTAAAGAGCGGAACACCTGCAGTAAGCTCTTGCAGATTTGCCTCAAGGCAAATCTGTTCATTAGGAGAAACCGGAACTTCCAAATCATGAATACTGCAATCGCCGGAGATGAGAACATGGATGTATCATTGCCGAAATATCCTCCCCAATACGAATGTCAGGAGTCCATCTCTAGACTGCACATTGGGGGACAATAAACAACCGCCAAAAGACAGGTGTCGTTGCGCCTTTGTCTCAGACTGCACCAGAGCGAGTCCCTGAGCAGCGTTTCCGGATCGTCCACCGGTTCGCACTGCAGGTCGTTGCGGTAGTATAAAATTACCCCACGGCTCCTAGAGGGGTAATCGTTTCGAATGAAGGACATGCAATGTATCTCGACTTCGGCGTCGGTGATTTCGGAATGCAGCTAGGTTTCCGTTATGAATATGAGGTCCCAGGCGTATGATGCATGACGTAGCCGCAATTCAGCAAGCTTGCTTAGTAGACCTTGTGCATTGTTGTACTTGCAGGCACGTTTCTCTGTCCTTAATAAGAATTCGCGGGATATGCATTTTGGGTATGAAGTTGTGCTGACCGATGAAAGGTCGACAATTAATCGTTCTTTAAGTGAGAAGATGATGATCTCATCTGTAGCAGATCCAGGGATTCCGCCATTAACTCTATGCTCCTCTTTTTGTATGTACTACATGGGGTGTTTGCCAATTTTGATAGATAGCTGAGAGAAAATATCCGAAGATTGTGTGGAGGTGGCCCGACACGTGGATGTTTTCAAATGTTTGCTTAGGGGACGCTGTTTTGATACGGAGTTTGCAAGTAAGGCTGCTACGGTCGACATACCAGCTCCCTAACACCCTAGTTGACATCTGTTTGGATGGAAGCACAACTTTCATAATCTTCAGATCATATCCCTTGTAGTTGGATGACCTGCATAGTCTCATGATCGATTTCGTAATGACACGTTCTAGGAACAGCGTCTTTTGAATGTATCGGCACTGCCATTGTTCGTGGGCGGTCTTTTCACGTCCAGTATGACCTGCAGCCTCGAATACACCGTGTACAAGGATGATCCTAGCTACCGATTTCTTTCGATGTTTTTCCAAGTCACTTTTCGCCTGCGTGCGCTCGCCCCACGGAATATCTTGGAAGTTACAGATGGAACATGACACATTTTGAAGGCGCGGTGTCGATAAGAGGATAGGTTCTGCTTCATCAGCGGAAGTCAATAAAACACGATGAACTCCCGGTTCACAGTAGTGCAGTGAGTTTGGGCGCTGTGTGATCCGTGAAAATTTGGCGGACTTAACTACATCATTTATGGTGTCACATAGGGAGTTCCGTTGGTTCACATCGTCGTTGTTTTCATTTTAGGGAATTATACGTTGACTTTGGAAATTTGGTGAAGTTTACCGAAGATACACTATGTGTAGCTCGGATTAATATCAGCCGTTTAGCTGGTCCGCATGTCACCAGTCAAGGCTGTGGAATTATAGCTTCGCCTTCTTCATTTACTTTGGGTCTAGTGGGGGTAACTAAAGACATATGTTTCCGGTTGGTTTTGGCAGAAATTATGTTCCAACCACTAACAACACCAACGTCCTTCTGAAATTTTGGAACAGTTTAGAGGACGAATGAGGCCCTGACCATACTTATTCCAATCGCACTGGCGGTGATTGATTTAGGCGCGTTTGAGTAGCTAATGACGTTACATGCTAAAATCACAGGGGACGTGATTTTAATGCAGTGCCCAGCATCCTTCCGGTGTTATGCAGCGCAACCTAAAAGAAAGGGCTCGCGTTCGCTCACCTTCAAACTTTCCTCAAATGTATCAATATTCAATCGTTGCCACCCCTCTTTCTTGTTTCTGCGAAAGTGCTTACAAATCTTTAATAGTGGGATAACCATGTATATTTCATAGAATCATAGGGAAGCCGGTGTATTATTCTGTATCGTCACATGGTTTACTGTGAGGCTTGAACAATTAGAGCAAAACTTGTTGCGGTGGTTCGAACACTGAATTCCGGTTCGCACATTTTATGGCAAGATGGGAAGTTATGTACTACTGTCAGCTTTGGTGTTGAATAAGGGAAAACTGTCGCTTAGTCGTTAGAAAGCATTGTGCCGATCGATGCAATTTCGGTCAATGGTGTGGTCACCTATCTGTCGCGGTAGTTTCCGTGCATGCACGGCTAGCAGACTGGGATTAGGCGGAAATACGATTTGCTCGTTAATTTCTATGATAATTAAATAAGGCTCGTAAGCGATGGGGACACCAAGTAGTGAATAGCTAATTAGCTTAGCAGTCGACAGCAGTGGTTAAAGGCTCAACGTATAGCCCTTTAAGTTGGCTTCCGTTTGAGACTACAACTAATTCTGTGAGACCCGAGGTTCGGAACAATCCTCGATTGCGTTTCTGCGGAGAACAGTGCGAAAACCGCGATGTGGAAATTACAGATGCTTCACACAAGTTAGATTTGAAAGATGGAATGCACTACATAGCGTTGATGAGGCCAAATCGAATGAGCGTAAGCACGTATGTGTGCCCATTTTGCATGCTTGATTTCTCTTAAATTCTGTGTTGCATGTTTGATCTGGCCGGTGTGGTTGCGCCTGAGGTGCATGTTGATAAGTTGCCTACCTGTCTAATACCCTCCAGCTCGAGTACTGGCTCCAGGAGACTGTGAATCGTTGCTGGGGGAAGGGTTGTGCGATCCTCGTGACCTTGCTAGGCTCGAAGAGAGGTTCCATGTAGTGTGGAGCGGATTACTGCCCATCGACTGCCTTGTGTACATTTGGCACGCATGGTTCCCTACATAGATGGACATGAATTCTGCTGCTGTGCATGTTGTAGGAATGTGGGCCGGTTTGGTTGATGAAACGTGACTTCTATCCACGTGCCTCCCGGGCTTATTTTTCGGGTTTACACCGGATATGGGGTGTGTGGATGGACCTCTGGGTGGTGCAGCCTAAACCAACCACGGTCCCTCTGTAGACACAGGAGTCCTGTGGCTGTCCTAAGAAGGCCACAGTGACAGGCAAATCCAGAACCGGATGCTGCCAACCATGTGTGATGAGAGGTGTGTCAGTAAATCCAATTAGATTACGGGGGCGGAGATTTTACGTCCGCTCGGTGTACTTCGATTATCAAGCAAAGCGGTAGTAAGGGTTTTTTGTTGGCAACCGATGACCGCACGGTAAGAAATATGAATATTCTTACCTCAGAGGCCATAGGCTTTATATGATGTTATCCGAATGACCACATATCGAGTCTGTATTTAAACCAGTAAATACAATCTCCTGTGTTATCTAATTATTTAAAATTCCACTGTTTTACTAGTCGACCAAACAAAATGTAGCTGAACTTGGCATAACCAGCAGTGCCATGCTATTAACTCAAACAGGAATGCTGCATATTTTTTCGACATTATACACATTTATCGCTTTCCATGTTTCATTTTCCGGCTAAAATTGTTAATTTTGTTGTTATTCATCCCAGTAGTTCACAAGCTAAATAACACAGCCTAGTCCTAAAAAGCACCAGACGCGTTTCACCCTAAGAAAAGTACAATTAAAAATTCTACTCGCGAGTAACATAAATAAATAGTCTCTCCTGGTTTCAAATGCTATGGATATAGCGTCTAGCATGCGGACGTCATCACCTCGCAGGATAGCGACTCTCAGCGACAGTAGAAATAGGTCTTGCTATATCCCAGTTAGCTTGCAAATTATGTAGCCCAGCCAACCTCCCCCACGGCTCAGAGCCTCAAGCGGCTGGCTACTTGGCATCTGCCTCTAACGGTCATGGGTTCGATCTCCAGTATGGGGCCGACGAATGCTCACCACTGACGAGCCCCAATAAAGCGAAACGCGTCTGGTGCTTTTCTGAACTGGGCTGTGCTGTGTAGCTTGTGAACTACTAGAATGAATGCCTTAATGAAATTACAGTTAATCTCCTGCTATTCACGAGTAAAATAAAATGCTTAGGCTGAATTTTCTGACGGCTGTTACTGAGGCTTCATGTCGTTAGTGAAAAAAACATCCGCGTACTTTGACATACTAAGTGAATCAACAGTTTCCGAACTGTGGCTAGTTTGCAAATTGCAGACCGCTCATCGCTCAACCGCTGCTGCAGATGTATCTGAGCCCATACAGATCTCAAACTTGCCATCAGCAACACATTTTTGGCCTATCATAATGCTTCAAATTTTCAGGATTTCGATTTCGAGTTGACCTGAAACCGGGAGAACTTCTGAATTTGGACGAAAATTTTCTTTTGGAAAATATTCGTGATTTTCCACCAGATCTCCATCATCTTCCCATTGAGGCTGCATTTGATGTGCGGTCGACAGATGACACGCATGTGAGTCACAAACTTAGTGAATGACTGTCTACCTGCTGTTTGCGGAAAATTTGTTATACGGTTTACTTGTAACACGATAGGGTTTGTTTAGAAAATTCTGTTAAGGTGAGTTTTCGTTGAGTATCTAACGTATTTTTCACATCCAGAAGGATATTATTTCATGAGTTTGCTGTTGCCATGGGACCAACTACCACAAACCGAATGGCTACCATTGATGCTGTATGGTTCCAGGAGTACTTGGTTTATCATTGACCCGGCTACTGTAGCGTATAAGGCGTACATCCGGCGAACGGGACGGTAAACCGCGCGGAACAAGGGAATGAAAGTACATTTGAAAAATGACCGTATAGAATGTGGACGTGGGCATATGGCTTCTGTTCGCTCAGTCGATAATCATTCGTCCGCTCACAGAAGATCGGTTGGTTGTGGTACGCGTGAACGAGCGATGAAGAGAGAATAGTTCTGGGGGTGCATGCACAGTACTATCCCCATTAATCAGTTCTCAATCGAACGAAGAAATTTTTGGTAGCTCGCATTAGGCCATTAAAGATATGATAACATGTCAGAACATTTCAACAGGTTAACAAAAGCTATTTTTTGTGTGAGCTGGTCACAATGGTTTGCAATTATCACAAATCCGACTTTCCAATCCATGAATGTGGTCGCAGCACCTGCGCAGACCCCCCCCCCACACACACACACAATGTGGTGGATGGACAACACGGTCGCGCTTGTGACCATGGTGAACGACGGTAAATTTACTGCCATTGGACTAACCCACACGAATTGGACAATTCGGGTACTGCTTGCCTATTTGCAATGGCCACAGTTGTAATTAAGTAGCACTTTCGTAGTCTGTTTTGACTACCGTGCTAGTCCGACGAGGGAACTTTCAAATGTCATTGGTCACAAAATTGGACTGAGTTATCACATGGAGCTGTCTATACTTTGAACCGTACCTTGCAAAAACACTGCTGAGTCCTAATCTGTTACCTACTTAGTCAAGCGTCTGGTCGATATAACTTACACTATAGATGTGAGCAGCCCTCAGGTTGACATGTCTACTATAGAGCATAGGCCCCCTGGTTATACTTATTTACCGATATCAAATTGTATTAGTTGGTAGCTAGGATAGACTAGAGCACTACTTTGGTGAGTATCCGATTCAACAACTCAAAGGGGACGTCTACTCTGGTTACATACCACAATTTGCTTCCGAACGAAGTGGTGGATTGAGTAGACGGGCCTTCATGATCCCTAAGGTTTCTGGTAAGTGCGTTTTGGTGGCACGAGAATACACCCAAGGAATTTGATCCATCAAGTCAAGACAAAATCTGTTTTATGCACATGTGGCGGGTGGATATTCAGCTACAACATTCACTATCTAATAAATATACCGATTCCAAACAATTACAGTAAAGTACGTTAAATGGGTTTGATAGAAAACGAACAGAATCTCCACCATACTGCAAATCCGCTGGTTAGGTCTAGAACGACAGAGTTAGGATCATGAAAAAAAGCGAAAGAAGAGGAATAACCGATGAGCGGAAGGTCTGTGTGCGGGCATAAATCAGCTTATACTTCTGCCCAATAGACGAATTTGACAGACATCCAAATAAAGCGATGTACAGCTGATGACTAGGTCAGGTAGTATATCTCAGATTCCAGTTCTTTGAAAGAAATGGTGTGGGGGAAAAACAAGTGTGCTGACAAAACTAGGCATCGGAATGCCGCTACCACAGGAGAAGCACCGTAAAGACCTGACAGTTACTTTAAAATGCGTACACAGAGATGACCGGGGAAAATCACAGGGGAGCAGTATGTCCAGTGGGGAAGAACACGGGTGCTGATAAATGGAAGGTTCCTCAAGAAGGACAGAGGAGGCTGTTACACGAGAGGCGTAGAGAGACAATCTTTAGACTTTCGTGAAAGTTTCATTCGCATGAAGAGTCCAGTATACATCATAGTTCAGTACCACACCTAGGTACTTCACTAATGTGGCAAACGTAAACCATCGTCATCAATAAAGAGCTTAGGACGCTGTGTAAGGAGCTGCGAGTAACTTGCTTCTTTGTGTAGCGAAAAAGAGTATTATGGCACTCTGATGCATTAAGAGTCAGGTTACAAGCTTTGGACCAAATATTGAGGTTATTCAGATGGTCTTACAGCCTGAGTGAGGTATCGGAGGTTCGACAATTAATACCCAGGAAAATGTCGCCAGCATATTTTAGTAAACTCACTTTTAGGGGTTGTGTCACAGAGCTGACTTAAGCAGAAAAGAGTACAGGCAATGGAATTGCTCCCTGAAGACCAACAGAGTTGGTATTTAATGAAAGGATGCATCTGCCACCGAGTCGGGTAGTCTGATTGCGTCCAGTAAAATAAGCACCAAGCAAGTGCTAGATCTTTTGGCAGCGAATCACGGTTTACGCAGCTGAATGGATTGCCATAATCCAGGAAGCACACACAAGATCGTTTATTTCTGTTTTCACGTGACGAGAATACAGAATGCACGAGGCAGGTCATTGCATCTAGAGTAGATCTTGAACAACGCTAAGCGAATGGAAAAGCGTCGATGGAGATAGTTTGGGACAGCATCATTTCAAGAATTTTTCAAGAAGCTACAAAACAACAAGAGGGCACGCGATAGGTCAATAATTATTGGATCCTTTTTTCGACAGTGGTCTGATACTGACACTTCTCCAGTAGTCAGCGATTTTGCGTTCCTGCATACACATTGTGTATACAGACGAAAGAGGCGTTGTCAAAAAGTCAGCACATCCTTTAAGTACAATGGAAGAGAATTTATCCGGACCGCTAGTTTTACCGGAACGTAGGCGTTTTAGTAAATTATTTACAACTGCATCGTCGATGAGAGGCCATGAGTCCACGGACCCCGGAACTTGGGAACAGTAAGTTTCTGAAGCTATGATAGTATTGCAGTTGCAAAACGCCTTGTTCAATTCCTCTACATTCGCATTAAAACTGAATGCAGGACGAACAAATCCACTAACCTGTTTCAGCATTCTCGACAGATCGCAACAGTTGTCGTTCCCAAGAATAGACTGGTTAAGTTGGTGTAGTTACTCCTTGATACGAATAGTAAGAGACCTTATATACTCTTTAAATGCTTTCTCCTTAGGTCGGCGCAGTCGTTTCAGGTGGGGGGGGGGGAGAACGTGTCAGCTGGAACATGAAGAGTTTCACATGGACAGCAGAGATCAAAACAGAAATTCAGATAACTTGTCAAATTGTCGCAATACTTGGATACAGCAGGGTCAAAGAAAAAACTAAATTCCTTAAATCCATGAAGTCGGTCGATATTTTGTTTAGAGCATCGCCTCCACCTGAACTTTCGATCACTGCGCTGAGTGATATCTCATTTGTTTGTTTGCCGTAAATAATGGGAGAAATTTTGATTGTTGTGTGATCAGAACTGCCAATTGAAGCCCGACTGAATACAGAACCACTTTGTATTATTAACGAACACTAGATCCAAAGTTGCGTCTAATCTGGTGGGTAAATTTACGGTGTTCCGTAATCCCAAAGTGATGAGAAAAGTGCTATCAAATCTGTTGAAAACTCTGACGAAGATATATAAAGAACGGTCGCTGAGTTATATGACGCCTGCTGTGAATTCATCGTAAAATCCCGTTACTTTAATTTTAGGACAGGAAGGAGATACGTAGACTTTAGCCAACAAAAGTGAGCGGTAGCCACTTAAACACATTTGCTTGCATTGCAGGACTAAGCAGTGAATTAATTGTGAAGCGAAAAAAGAGGTGTTTTGTTGCAATACACTAAGATGGATTAGCGTAAATATGGACTGTTCCATCTCTGGTTCCGTACGTGCAAGGGCGGTCAACCCGATGGTAACTGAATTCGCCAACTGATATCACAGCATTATTCACTTCTTCTTGGATCCAGATTATTTGCGAAATAATGATGCCTAACTGTGAAAATTCTTTGGTACAGACTGTACTCGATACTTAATCTAATTTTACAACCAGTGAACGTACGTTGGCGCTAAACAATACAGGCACATTCAGAGCTCGGCGTCCTTTTACTTTCGAAGAGCGACCCTCCATCCAGTAGGATATTTGCGTACAGAATCGTTACAGTATTTAGAAATTCCTTTCAATTTGCTCTTTCATAACAAGGCCGCTAGAAAATGTAGTAATATGCATCCGGCCGAGGGTTGCGTGAGTGCCAAGGGCTTATGTGTCCGGAGTGTACGTGGGTTTTATTAGATCGAACGGGCTGAAAGACAAAGAAAATACTTCGCAGGCGGCTGGAAAACCACCCGTTGGTTTGAAACGTATTTCACTGGGTTATCCATAGTGGTATTAGCCACAAAACTATCGAAGAGAAATGCAGCAGGCTTTTGATAGGCTTTGTCAAAGGTTCCAACCACAAGGTCCCCGTAGAAGCACAGTTGAACATAATTCAGCCCTCAGTTAACTGATTGTATGAAATTTTGTAGTGTTCGTGTGGAGCTGCATTCACGGTAACGCTAAACTGGGACTAGCCCTTGTCGTCAAACGGAATATGGCAAGGAGTTGGTAATAGAGACGTTTTCGAGTATAGTGGGGATACACCCGGGTGAGCATAATGACCTAAATATGTACAATATTTGGGTAGCGGTGGGAAAAGTTAATGTTTTTGAGAGCACAGTGATCGTCAAATGATTGCCACTCTGCTGAACTTTTGGCATCAAATGTAGATGCGCATTTCTTGCGAGCTTTTGGACGTTTAATGATGCCTAGCTCGAGTTTACCTTAAAGTTCGGGGTCTGTAAATTTGGGGTCATCAGTCTGAGTTATCAGTCTGACATGAACTCGAGAAAAGAAGATAGGATTGCACGGTTTCAGCTGGAAACGTAAATGGAGTCAATTCGCTGCATAGGTTTGAAACATCGCAATGTCTGACTGAGACGTGAGCTTACTTGGCTGGTAGAAGTCAACATGCAAACAACTGCTAGCTTCATGAGGCGATTGGGC